CGGCCGGCGTCGCCGTCCCGGCAGTCGGGGCAGCGCCGCACCCAGCGCGCCACGTCCTCACGGACGTCCCTCCAGGATTGCACGCCCAGCACGCGGCACAGCGTGCCCTCGACGCCCTCGTGGTGCCGGCCGTGGCACTGCGCCACGATCTCCTGCCGCTCCCAGGCGGACGGCTCCCAGCATTTCCAGCCGCTGACGGAATTCCCGGCCACCGCCCTGGCCCTGGCGGTCACCTTCTGAATCCAGCTCCGCTCGTCCGGCGCCGCCTGGCCCGGCGTTCCCACCTGGCGCACGCGGAGCGCTCCCGGGAAGGCGCGGAGCCGGCGCAGCGCCAGCTCCGTCGCCAGCCCCGGGAAGCTGGAATACAGGAACAGCGGGAAGCGGCTCCGGTGCTGCTCCAGCAGCTCCCGCAGCGCCTCCAGCGCCGCCTCCTCCTCCTCGGGGCCCCGCCGCACCCCCAGCAGCCAGCGCTCCTCCAAGCTGGCGGCGGCGAAGGCCACGGTCGGCTTTCGGGACGATCCCTTCTCCACGGCCAGGAACCAGACGTTGGCTTTGGGAATGTCGGGAGGCAGCTGACCGAGCTCCGGGGCCGGCGGGATCGTCTCCGTTTGGGATTCCTGCGGCTGCGGGCCCTCGATGGCCACCAGCAGCCTCCACTGCTCCGCGGGCTGGGAGCCAGCGGAGCCGCCGGCGAGCAGCGGTTCTCCCCGGAGCAGGTACCGCCCGGCGGGCCCCCGGATGACAAGGGGAGCCGGCCCCGTGAGTTTCTGGAAGGCCTGGACAGCCCAGACGGCCGCCAGGCACGAGGCGTCCTGCGGGGACCAGCTCTGGCCGCTGAGCTTGCGGGACCAGTGTTGCACCGGGAGCAGCGTTCCCGCCTTCTCCTGCAGCAGCACGGCTCCCACCGTCCGTGCGTGCACCGACAGCCGGATCACGAAGGGCTGGCATTTATTCGGGAAGAGCAGGGTGGGCGCGGCTTTCAGGGCCTCCTTCAGCTGCTGCAGCTGCTCCCGGGCCCGTTCCCATTCCCGCTGCCACTTCTGCTCCCGCTCCCGTTCCCACTTCCCCGGCGCCGCCAGCTGCTGCAGCGGCAGCACCAGCTCGCAGTAGTCAGGGATGAATTCCTTCAGATCGTTGAACTTGCCGAGGATGGAGCGGAGCCGGCTGGCATTCCAGGGCCCGGGAGCGTCGCAGTCCCCGCAGATCTGCCGCAGCTTCTCCTGGGACACGCGGCGCCCCGCGGCCCCCAGCGTCCTGCCCAGGTAATTCACCTCGCGCTGCACCAGCTGCGCCTTCTCCCGGTTCACTTTGAAGCCGGCCTTCTGGATCAGCTTCAGGACGCAGCGGGTCCGGTATCTCACCTGCCGCCGCCGCTTCCCGGTGATCAGGATGTCGTCGGAGTAGTGGAAGACGCCGCGGGCGGCCCCGGGCTCCAGCCCGGCCAGCATGGCGGCCACGCGGCGGTGCACGATGGAGCCGCTGGCGTGGAACGTCGGCACCAGCCGCGTGAACAGGAACTGCCGGCCCTGGAAGGTGAAGGCGAAGCGGTGCCAGGAGCTGCGGGCCAGCGGGATGGCGAGGCAGGCGTTGGACAAATCCAGCACCGAGAAGAAGCGGCTCCGGGGGTTGATGGAGGTCAGGATCCCGTGCCGGTCCAGCGTCTCCTGGGGCTTTCTGGGAGTGGCGGCGTTGAGGGCCCTGCAGTCCAGGCTCAGGCGGAAGCCGCGCCCGTGTGGTTTTGGGAAGAGAATCAAGGAATTGTTGGATTTGGAGGTGCCCTCCACCACGATTCTCTCCCTCAGGTATTCCTGCAGCAGCTCTGCCATCTTCCTCTCCTTGTGCGGGGGCAGCGGGCGCTGCTGCTGGAAGGGCACCGGGTCCCCGTCCAGCTCCTCCTCCTCGGCCACGCGCCCGCAGTCCAGCCAGGAGCGCGCCCACGCCTCCGGGAACCTCTGCTCCAGGCGGCGCAGAGCCCCCACGCAGACGTTCACGGCGGCCTGCTCCCGCTCCGAGCCCGAGTCCGAGTCCTCCTCCGTGCTCTCGGTCTTCCCGCTGACCTTCAGCATTCCAAAGAAGCTCCCGTCATTCCCGCTGGGAACGCTGTGGTCTGGGCTGGCTCCAGAGCCCTGCTCCCGGTCCGAGCCCGAGCCCGAGCCCGAGCCCCATCCCAAGCCCGAGTCCTCCTCCACGCTCTCAGCGTTCCCGCTGACCCTCAGCATTCCGAGGAGGCTCCCGTAATTCCCACTGGGATTGCCACAGTCCGGGCTGGCTCCGGAGCTCTGCTCCCGGTGCGGGTCCAAGCCCAAGTCCTCCTCCACACTCTCAGCGTTCCCGCTGACCCTCAGCATTCCGAGGAGGCTCCCGTAATTCCCGCTGGGAACGCCGCGGTCCGGGCTGGCTCCGGAGCTCTGCTCCTGGTGCAGGTCCAAGCCCGAGTCCTCCTCCACACTCTCAGCGTTCCCGCTGACCCTCAGCATTCCGAGGAGGCTCCCGTAATTCCCGCTGGGAACGCCGCGGTCCGGGCTGGCTCCGGAGCTCCGCTCCCGGTGGGCGCCGCGGGTCCCCGGCCCCTCGGGGTAGCCGCACAGGGGCGTCCCGGCGATGCGCCGCGCCAGCCCGGCCGCCAGCTCCGCCGTGGCCTTCCCTTCCCAGCCCTCCATGTCCTCTCCCAGCCGGCGCAGCCTCTGCCAGAGCCACTCCCTGCACTCCGCTCCCGACGGAGCCTCCGGGTTCCGGCCGGCACCCCCGGGGCTGGTGGCAGCGTCCGTGTCCCTCTCCCGGCTCTGGGAATTCCTGCCGGGCTCTCCCTCCTCATCCTCCCTGCTCCGAGCCCGGGGTGGGAGCGGGGGCGGGGGCTGAGGCCGAGCCGACCCTTCCCCTGGCACATTCCCATTCCGGGTGGCACCGTCCGTGTCCCGGCTCCGGGAATTGCTGCCGGGCTCTCCCTCCTCATCCTCCCTGTTCCCAGCCCAGGGAGGGAGCGGAGCCCGACGCCGAGCCTGAGCCGTCCCTTCTCCCAGCACATTCCCATTCCGGGTGGCACCGTCCGTGTCCCGGCTTTGGGAATTCCTGCCGGGCTCTCCCTCCTCATCCTCACATCTCCCAGCCCGGGGTGGGAGCGGGGCCCGACGCCGAGGCCGAGCCGACCCTTCCCCGGGCACATTCCCATTCCGGGCTTGGCGTGGGACACCCGGCTTGTCCCCAGAGTCCTTCCCGAGGGCCTGGATCCCGCTGGGGCCGCTCCGCACCTCGGGCTGCTCCTGCCGGGCTCCGCCGTTCCGGTGGCTCCCGGGCTGTCTCCCGTTCACCTGCGCACAGCCGGGCCCGGCTCCCGCATCTCCCGGTATCCCGGCGTCTCCTCGGGAATGCCGCATCCCGTCCTGGCACCACAGCCAGGCCCAGCCCTGCCCGGGCCGCCGGGAATCCTGCGGGAAAGCTCCGGGATCCCGGGCTCTGCGGGGATCCTGCGGGAAAGCTCCGGGATCCCGGGCTCTGGGGGGATCCTGCGGGAAAGCTCCGGGATCCCGGGCTCTGGGGGGATCCTGCGGGAAAGCTCCGGGATCCCGGGCTCTGGGGGGATCCTGCGGGCGCCTCCTCCTCACCGGCAGGAAGCACAACATGGCCCCGGGCAGCGGGACGGAAACCGGGGTCTCCTCACCTCGCCGGGGCTTGCGGTGGCCCCGGAATTCCAAAAGCGTCCCGGGAAATTCCAAAAGTGTCCCGGGAAATTCCAAAAGCGTCCCGGGGGAATTCCGGCAGTCCCAAGGGTGTCCCGGAGGTGTCCCAGGAGTTTTCTCAGTCCCAAGATTGTCCCAGGGGTGTCCCGGGAATTTTCTCAGTCCCAAGAGTGTCCCGGGAATTCCGTGACTCCCGGGAATTCCCCGAGGGCCGGGATGTCCCTGCGGCGTCCCAGCAGCCGCGGCCCGACGCTCCCGTGCCCGGGGGAGGAAGAGGAAGTTGGGGACGAGGAGGAGGAGGAGGAGGATGAGGAGGAAGGTGCGGGCTCTTTCCGGGGCCACCGAGGTCACGGCCCCGACCCCTGTCCCGCTGCGGTGATTCCCGGCCGGCGTTCCAGCCCTAGGGAATGTCCCGGAGCTGCGGGAGCGGAGCGGGAGTGACCCCCGGCCGCCCCTCCCCCATCCCCGCGCTCACCCCAAATTTGGGGTCAGACCCCCCCAAAGCGGGGCAGCCACCCC